AAAAAAACATAGGCGCTTTTGGAGTTTTAAAACAAATTATTTTTTTGAAATTCTGTAATTCAGGTTCTATTAGGTCCAGCTCTCTGCAATTTACTTTGTTTGATGCCACTAGATGCCAAAAAGTACCAGAAAAAAGAATCTTTCAAATAACAGCTTCTAAACAGGAGTTATTACATTATATGTGAAGCGAGTGAAATTGTCTATTTCTGCATCTAAATGTGTCATGGTGAGTTTCCTTTGCAAAAACAGGCTTTATAAAACACATTAACCCCACAATCCTATTTTACTCTGTGCCATAAGCACTTTAATTGATTATTGATTGAATTATGTTTCATTTTTATGTTTTTCTAAGTAGTAATATACAAAATGGCATAAGCGAATTGGACCAAATTTCTCATATTGTGATTTCTACATCAAGTTTAATTATTTCAGGATGCACAAGACTGTCTACATTATAAAATATATATGGTTTATCACAATCTAAAATAGAATCCATATCCTCCAGCTTTATATCATTCCATTTATGTGCATTCTGTATTGGGATACTAATTCACAGCATCTCTCACCTCATCAGTTGACTCCTGTATCCTGAGCATCTCTCCATGACAACACTGTATCATTCGTGGTCCAGAGCGGAGCTAATTCGCTAACCGGCAGCTATCTCTACATTCACAGCGTCAAACAAACATATATCAGCTCATCCACACCGCACTGTAAATAATCCATGTATATTTACTGTATACTTACTGAAATGCATAATGTACTGTACTTTTCTGTCAATAAACAAGTGTATCAGATTGCTAGTGTTGCCATCACGTTTCATAACAAAGAATAAGCTCTCAAACACACGGAGACTCGCTCCTAAAGCCTCACCAGACACGCGCTCATTCCTCTCCACGGCGCCGCTGACCGTTCTTCATCATATATAACTTGTAATATGATAATCATAGACTGTTATGATCCGAGTCGCGTTCCCTGCAACTCTTCCGTGCGGAGAAAAGCCTCCAATTCTCGCTTCCACGAACTACAACAGCCAGAGGCCACTAGCTGGCCGACCGGATGGAGACCCCCCTCTCTCGCCCACTGTGGTGACGCAGAGGTGTCAGAGTTCACAAAGTCTGTAATGGCCGATCTGAGTGACATGTAATCTGACCAATTGCAGCCCAGAACCGACCGCAGATATCGATAACATCAGACGCGCTGCCTGCGCGCTGGAATGAGATGGAGAGCGCATTATTTCCAGACGCGCTGGATTCCGTTACCTTAAATCTGTTTTTTTTGTTTACATCGCAATTCAATTGTCACACAATGAAATAATCTACATCGTCAAATTCTTGAGAATGAGAGCTTTCTTGTGATATATGACTTGACTTTTTTGTGAAAAATATATAAAATACTCCGGGTCCGCAGATTAATTAACCTTGAGAACTGTGTTCTCAGGGATAAAGCCCTGGTCTTCACCTCCTCAACTGAAATAAATAAATCTCTCAAGATCTGATTGAACAACTCCACAAACAGCATCACCAGCTTCACTCATTACTAACTAGATTGACTTTATGTCGGTAGAATCTCTTATTGAGAATTAACAGAGGTTTAGACGTTGATATGTGATTGGTCAAGGAAAGGAAAACACACACACACACACACACACACACACACACACCACATGCAGCATAGGCATCAATTAGGCAGTTCCACGGAGAGTAGAGAACGGTGTCAATAATGGTAGGAGTAGGCATCAGGAGACTTGCTGGCATGAGCCCGTTCGTGATTTCACCATGAGCCACAATCACAATGTCTATGTGACCTCCACGGTTCTTTTTCAGACGATCTGGAAGCTGATTCAACCTCTCAGTAAAAAAATAAAGAAGGTTTACAAACTGAATCTGATGAGGTAACGTCTTCAGCCAGGAAACGACCGCATCATCCGTCCATGATTGAATGACGTAATTAATGATTTTCTGTCCAATCTCAGTCATGCTAAGAGAATATTTCCGCAAGTTCTTGATTAGATTTTTCATTTCCCACATTTTTTTTGTGATTTCGCTGTAATGAGAAATGTTTGAGAAAAGCATGATTTAGAAAGGACTCAAAGTACAAATATAAAAGTTACATATAAAAGAGAAATACATTTTTGCTTATGCTGTAAACTGTCACAGTTATGTTCGTTAGTTTTAGTTCATGGACTTTAGCTTTGTTATACAGACTTCTAGTATGTTTTCCATCAGTTTCCAGTTTCCTTTGTCTATGTTTCCCGCATCATTTGTAATCATTAGTGTCCAGCTGTGTTTGATTTATCATCTAATTTGGTTTGCTATTTAAGTTGTGCCTTTACAGCCAGTCAACATTTCATCAAAAACATGCATTCTCTATTATTCCTCCTCCTCCACTGTTATGATAAGTTTTGTGTACTACTGTCTGTCTGCTTTTGGAGTTATTATTAAAATTTGATTGTTTGAAACTTGATCCTTAGAGCAGGGGATCAGTGTTGCCAATTTAGCAATTTTGTAGCTAGATTTAGTGACTTGCCCACCCCGTTTTAGACTTTCTTTCAAAAGTTTAGGGACAAATATAGCAACTTCTTGGACAAGCCTTATCTAAGTTCTCATCTTGCCCACTGATCTATAGTCATCTTTATATAGATCAGTGAATTTGCCATTGTGATGTCATCTAGTGACATTTAGCTACTTTCAATTGAAAGCAGTTGGCAACACTGCAGGGCAGACTGCTTTTTGAACGCACCTGTGAGTATTTGTGTGCACTCTGAAGTGTATTACAGGGGTGTATTCCAGAAAGCATGGTTAACTTACTGTCAGCTAAACCCTGAACTCTCGGTTAATTAACCCCAAACCTTGCTTACTCGAGGTATGTGGTTCCAAAACTGTGTCGGGGGGTAAGTTCATTCAACTCAGAGTATGTTCCTGGTTAAGACTCAAGACATTCTCAACAGAGCGACGAGTCACTGGAAACGGACGCTTCATGCTGTTTCTTTCTTCTTCTTTTGTTCAATGCTCATTTACATGCTTAGTGCATATCGCCAACTGATGGTTGTGCAATCATTTTTTTTCCCCATTTGATCTTTAATCCTTGAGAATATGAATTATATTGTTTGTTTGATGCTAATTATATATTAAGTCATATCAGATATGTATTTTGATTTAGAATTTAGACATTATAGAAAATGCAGATCCATGTGTGAGATGAGAATATAAAATGTAATAAATAAATATATATAATAAATTAAACATTACCTTGTCATAGTGTTTTATAATTTATACAGATAACTGTTATATATGCCAATAAAATAAATATAATAACCATATTAGAATAATATATTACCTTATTTATTACTTATATTAGCGCTTCATCATTAACATAT